CAAGAGGTCCCAGAAAGGGATTAGGGCAAAGAGGGAGGGAGTATGCGTAAGGACGGTTGATGATACAAAGATAGGGAGGATGATACGAGATTCAAGAGTCAACTCGGGTTGGAGCTGAGGGTCGCTGTTTTCGGTTTAGCGTGGCCTGTACGAAAGTTGTGAGGTCTGTCTGCCCACACACCTTGAGATCTCTTCGAATCGAACGTCTAATTTTTTGATGCTGTGATCAGTTTAGTCGTTGCTTGTAAGTGGTAAGTTCCCGGAGATTTCTTGATATCTGGTGCGAACTTTGTATGTGATGAAAAATTATGGAAAGAGCCCGTCACTCAAAGCTTCTAAGATATGTATACCTCCAAATCTACTGCAACTATGACAAAACGACAAAACGACGAAAGTTGGTAAAGCTAATTTTGAAACACAGTGAGACTCTAATATTCTCGCCGAAACAACAGTTTTCCCTTTGCACTAGGCTAGAGGATTCAGTATATACATCAATCCTCCACCTATTCGATGAAAAGGGAAAGCTTAGTGGGGGTGGTTCTTGTGGTGGCCTAGTCAATAAACAAAGTCAGTGAAATTCCAATTTCAAAAAGGGAACAGAGACGGTTCTAAAAGGGCGGGAAATACGTACGCAAGTGGAAGTAGTACTCCAAGCTGTATCCCAGAATCAGGATGCCGCCAATAGCGTGGACAAGAGCTGCATAAGAATAAGTACTTGAATCAACACAATAGAACGACCGAGGAATACATACGAACACCCGAGGCGTTCTTGCCGTTGAAGTAGCGGGCCTGGTAACGACCGATGAGGCCGGTAGGCTTGACAGCAGCGGCAGGGCCACGGGGAAGACCAGCGTAAAAGGTCACAACACGCTGCATGCGGGCAGCATCCTGAGCGGCACCGATGGCCTTGATTGATAAAAATTTGTCAGCTGTGAAGGCGAAAGAAAGACGGCATTTTAATCAAATCGCGGGCTTTGCGAAAAACGGCTTCGGGGCGGGACGGGTGTGGAAGGGATGCACGAAGTCGAAGATGGTAGCGCGTGGGTAACTCACATTAGGGGAGGCAACCTGGAGATACAGTTAGCATCATTCAAAGAGTCGGATGACTACAAATTATCATGAATTAGAGTGCTCTTACCTTGGGGGGGATCAAGGTCGAGAGACCTCTGCGGGCAATGTAGCTCATCTTGTCTAGGCTGAGTGGGGTCAGAAATTTGTCGCACTAGATATAGCGGCTCTCTATGAGCATTCGCAGAGCGGTAGAGACATAGACTTACGTTGATTCGCGACGCAAGTGAACCAAAGAAAGCAGATGGAGGAGGAAGGAGGAATAAACCGAGCCCTGCGGGTGTTCGGCTTGCCAAGCCCGGCTAAACCTGATTCGGGGGTGTCGTGACCTGCCTGTAATTCGCAACCAAACCACACATGAAGAGAGTCCTCACTGGCAACGACCATTCCCCGCATCCAAAAAGACACAATGTCACTGTTCAGAATTGGGGGTTCTGCTAGCCTTCGGGTCAGCCGACTTTCTGCGCCTATCAATGCCCGTTTCGTCTCCATCAATGCCCCGAAGGGCGCTCCTTCCGTGAAGACGACCACCGCGGATGCTCCCACTACGCCTTCGAAGGGCAGCTCCTTGATCACCAAGGAGACTCCCTCCGAGGCTATGACCCGTCACCAGCCAGATTATGAGGCCACCATTGACCACGGCACCTCGTACGACATCCCCCTTTGGTTCCGTCGCAGATCCTTCCACTAACCCTTTGTCTTCACTCAAGGCAATTTTCCCCGGTGCCCAAGCGCGTCATGGATGGTAGCGAGCCAGGCAACACTCTGCCCGCGGCCGTTCTCTCCGGAGCCCCTACTGATCTCCAGGCCCGCAATGTCCGGTACGTTATACAAATTTGAAGCCGTATCGCCTAGCTCCCACACACTAACACATGACTCTTGCAGCATCTACCGCCCTACCAAGGCCGCCACACAGTCTGGTACCTGGCACCAGCACCACTGGCGCATGGATTGGGACATCTTGCAGCGGGGCCACCGTTGGGAGAACTCGCTCATGGGCTGGCAGTCGTCTGCCGATGGCATGCAGGGCACCAACTTGAAGTTCAAGACGAAGGAAGACGCAATCGCTTTTGCCCAGAAGCAGGGCTACGAATACTTTGTCCAGGAACCGAACGAGCGCCGCTTCGTGCCCAAGTCCTATGCCAACAACTTCGTTCACGAGCCGAAGAAGATCAGACACATCAAGACCAAATGATTTGACTTTGCGCCGCATAATGTACATATTTCCTGTTTACCACTCAGACTCAATTTCAAGCACTTCTATATGTCGCTTTGAGAAATAGCGTATCTCTAGACTTCATGAGTTTGTGCTAACAAATACCAGTCAGCTCCCATTCAACTACCGGGAGCACGAAGAAGGGAACGATGTCGATTCTGCTTCTGTTTGGTGACATGCATAAAGTTTTCGCAAACGTCAGTAAATTTGCACTTCTCGTGTTGTGTTTGTAAATCTCATGTTCAAACTAATGTCTTCGCCTTCGATGCGACTACAGCATCGCGACCCTCTTTGCCGATCGCATGCTCATAATATCGACTATACAGCATATTTAAAATCTATCCAAATCCAAATGTCTCAAATCTGTAGGTGTATAAAACTAGAATTGGAGTCTCACGAAATGCAATATAAAGCTTCCCGGTCAATAAATCAACTCCCAGTCCAGTAGCATTGTACTGAGATGACCCATATTTGAGTTGAGGGCCTACCCGTGGACTAGCGTAATATCACTACAACATACTCGGCTTGTTCGATATTTCAGTGTATCTTTTAATGTTATAGAAAACTTGCTTACAATAGTCTACCAGCCAATGCTTGTAACTCCAAATGCCCGAAACTTTTTGGAACAGCTGTGCTCAAATTCTGACGTTCTTTCTATACAATCGTACAGCCATTAGGTTCGTTGCATGAGTACAAGCAAAAACATGTCCAACAGACCATCAAGTAAGGGCTAACTTTAGTTTTGGGGTGCTTCGAACTGATCTATTCAAACTTCTATTTCGGGTTATAGTGTATCTTTAAGGATAGATGCCTCGCGACATGTGTATAGCAGTTGTGAGAACATAACTTCACCTGTATGGTCGATTCTTGCTTGGAAACTCCAAGGTCCCACTCAAGTCCACGAATCGAGAAAAATATATCTCTGGGATCAGCGCTTCCACCTATGTTGTGCAATATACGAGAGGCCCCGCATAACCAACCCTTAAATCTACATTTATACATGAATATAAACCTGTAAGGCTAGTAATATCCACACCCATTCAACTAACCAATAAATTGTGGCTTGGTCTTACGCCGGAAACATTGAAGACAATAACGTACGAGCAAAAACCCAGGCGTAGCTAAAGCCTGAATGGGCCCCGCCACCCCCACTCTAAAAATTGATAAGATCAAAAAGATTAACAACTTTTCTTTTCCCACCTTTATACTCCCCTCGTCTGACAACATCCCTCAAAATGACATCCGGAACAGATGTTACCGTTCTCACCCTCCGTAAGGTGCTGGTCTCCGAATCTGAGCCGCTTGCTCGCCGCTTCCGCGCTCTTTTCTCCCTTAAGCATCTGGCCTGCATGCAGCCTACCACAGACCAGACTCTCCCCGCCATCGAAGCTATTGCCGCAGGCTTCTCGTCGCCCTCGGCTCTGCTAAAACATGAGCTTGCCTACTGCCTTGGCCAAACGAAAAACTTTCAGTCTGTCGCACACCTGCAGCATGTGGTGAAAGATGCCGATGAGGATGCGATGTGTCGCCATGAGGCTGCCGAGGCGCTGGGCGCTCTTGGGTACGCGGATAGCTTGGACATCCTTAAGAAATTGAGGGATGATACAAATGAACTGGATGTAATTCGCGAGACTTGTGACATTGCTGTCGACCGAATTTTGTGGGAGAACTCCGAAGAGCGCAAGGCCGAGAAATTGAAGCCTAGGTACGATCCGCGTGGGATGATTTTATACCACGAGGAGAAATGCTAACATTGAGATCTTTGATTTACAGCGATTTCACTTCTATCGACCCTGCTCCACCAATGCCTCTAGAGGCCAGCGCTGAACCCTGCATCCCTGACCTGGAAAAGACGCTTCTTGACACAAAGCTCCCGCTGTTCCAAAGATACCGTGCGATGTTCGGTCTGCGCGACCTTGCCTCGCCCCCAGATCTTCCCACAGCAGTCAACGCCGTCAATGCGTTGGCTAAGGGCCTCAAGGACCCCTCTGCTCTCTTCCGTCATGAGGTTGCCTTTGTGTTCGGGCAACTCTGCCACCCTGCCTCGATCCCTAGTCTCACAGCCGCGCTGAGTGATCTCTCGGAAGTAGGAATGGTGCGACACGAAGCGGCGGAGGCCCTTGGCAGCCTGGGCGAGGAGGAGGGTGTGGAGGAGACCCTGAAGAAATTCCTGAATGACCCTAATCAAGTGGTCAGGGACAGTGTCATTGTTGCTCTTGATATGGCAGAGTTCGAGAAGAATGGCGAAACCCAATACGCGCTGATCCCGGATAGCGCTGCACCCGTTGCTGCATGATGGATATCCTGCAAAAAAAGAAAATTGTCTCGTGACGGTCGTGATTTTAATACTCTTGTCCTGCTAGTTATACAGCCTTTCCCCAAAAATAGATTTTTCCCCACATCTTTTGTACAATCCGTGTTCCCAAGATTAGTTGTTGGAGGTTTCTCTGTCGCATGGTCAGTATTTGCTAGAAATGCATAGACACATGTTTTCAAAGCAGGGTGGGCATACTTGAATCCGCAGACACATCTGTAGAACACAGTACTTCCTTCATCGGCACTGCGCAGTTGCACCGTGGTGTAGAACATCTGCTTCCTCCCACAATCGTTACATGTACGATCAATGATAGCCTCAGTCTTTCGATCCTCTGCTGACAGGGTCTGGACTGCGGATCGTTTGGCTCTCAGTGCTGAGGGGAATGCGGAGGGCTTGGACTCAGATACGGTTGTCACAGGAGTTGTATCTGCAAATAGAAGTCAGTAATGAACCACCTATCGGCCTGGGAAGAATGTGAAAGGTTTTTGTCCACCCACCTTTATTCCGAGTACCGCAGACATCACAGTGCAGAATCGCATCCGCATTGCCGGTAGATTCTCGTAGGAGATTTCCGCAATCGGTGCAGAAAATCAAGGAACCGATGACAGACATATTGATGGGTGTAAAATGGAATTTATGGCCTGAAAGCTGCAGAAGATCAAAAGTGCAAGTAAAGTGACAACGAATCAGGTCTTACGCAGCGAATAATCTACGCAACTTTTTTTTGACGCACGAGCCTCTAGATAGGCGGTCACACGCGGCAGTAGTGGTGCCGTCACCCATACGGAATTCATGAACCGCATTTGATGGTAGCTCCGCTCTTTTTCTTTCAGATTCTGTTTGTTTTATTAACTTAAAGGATCATGTCATAAGGCGCCTAACTTCTTTGCCATGTCTCTATCAGGAGCATGTCAACCTTATGACTCGCGCCTACTTCTATTGACTTAACCGCGACCATGGACCAGAATGGACGACCCGCCGTCCAGGTGGTCATCAACGGCCATGATCAGATGCCACCATATGTCTCCAATATGCAGTTTCAGAACCAAAGGCCGCTGTCTGTGGATGAAGCACTGCAGTACTCATCCATGTCCAGTGCGCCTGTTTTTGGTCTCGGTTCGTCTGTTCTCTCTAATCTCTCTGAAGTCTGCTCAATTTGCTGACAACTTGTACGTACAGACTGTATCCTACGTCCCGATGTTGGCCGACCTTCAAATACCACTTCTATAAACCATGTCCTCCAAGAAGGCCGCAAAACACTCGGTGAACTTGACACGGAAATGCAAGCTGGACAGGATGATTCTAGTCGTTTAGAAACGTCCCGAGAATATATTCAACAGTTGCTGGATGGAGAACAGCTTACAGAATTGTAAGGAAACCTGAAGTCTTTGAAGTGCAGTCAACTCATCTGGATTTCATAGCAAATTCAAGCTGCCTCGGGTTCCTACGCGAAGTCAACAACAGTTGCGCCCAAACGATCCTGACGGTGCTACCTCCGGTCGTAATAGCCTTGGTTCCTTCGCACGGATGATGCTTAGCTCTACCGATATTGCATTCAGATGTAAACCCTAACAAGTCACGGATACATATATACAGAGTCAATCGACTAACCGGCTGCAGACCCCGAAGCACCCCCAAAGACAAAACCCGAAACTAAAGGCCTCACCCCGAAGACCGCTGCTTCATTGAATCAGCGCGCATACGTTGCGAACAAATTGAACTCGGCGTCTTTCTCAGCCTCTTTTGAGCTGAATCATCCACCTACATCGAGCCAATTGTCCGTCGTTATTCCAATCAAAACCGTACCCCTACACAGCAATGACGTGAACCCGAAGAAGCTCCAACTGAAAGCACATGACCAGGACGCTATGGCCGTGGCGGCGGTGCGACTCAAGGACCAAAAAGAGGAAGCAGATGAAGCCTTGCAAAAGCTTCAAGATCTTCTTCATGAGGTTTTTGAAGAAGAAGATCAACTTGATCCCGATGCTTCGACCCCTCCAACTTCTGATGCACCGAACCCCATTTTCGTGAGCCCGGCATCTTTGCAGGTGCATGGGCTGATACTATCTTCTGATGCTCACACTCGCCTCCAGAAAGCTCTTCGGAAAGTTGCAGGGTTTGACCGACTGCAGGACATTCCTTCTGATTATCTTAACCGCGTTCAAAAATTGTGCGAAAAGCCAATACTTGCTGCACAATCCCCGGAGATAGGCTTAGGCGATTCACTTAATGAGGTTGAGTCCCAGGAGTGGCTGGGTAAGATCGAAGATGTATTGAACGCACTGTATGCAATCGGAACGCTGCTGCAGACGATGTCTGGGCGTCAAACCGAGCGAGAGCTTTGTCCTGAAGATCTCATCGAGGCCATTCCCACTGTTCTCAATCAACTGTTTGACCATTGCATTATTCCCGCAGTGGAATCGCGTCCTGGTGGTAAAGACAGCCAGTACTTCCACTTCTTTTCGACCCAGAAGCGGATCATTGGCACTCTTGTTCACCAGAGCAAGAAAGTTGTTACTCTTTTTGCAGAATTTTTGTCCCGCATTGATGTCTCCGAGGGGACGATCACGGCCGCGGAATTCTTTGCTGCAAAGCTAATATTTGTGGAAAATGCACACAATGACAAAGACTCTACTTTAGGATATCAGAAGTACGAGCCTGTGAGACGTGGTGCGATGGATGTGCTGGCAAAAGTGTTTTCTAAATATCCTGAGCAGCGACCGTTCATCCTGGATGAGATTCTGGTCTCATTGGAAAAACTCCCCACCACACGTCAGAATGCTCGGCAGTTCAAAGTTGCAGATGGAAAAAATATCCAACTACTCACCGCTCTAGTCCTGCAGCTTGTTCAGACAACGGCTCTGGAAACACCTTCGCGATCGAAGGCCAAGCTTCGAATCAAAGCACAAGCCGTTGACGACAATGACGAGCTCATGGGCCTTGGTGAAAGTCATGCCAACGGCAAGTCTGATGACGACGAATCAGACGAATCGTTGGAACGCTTAGCCAACAAGGCCAACCGACTCTACGACAATGCCATGCGCTCCGCACAATACATTGTGAACTTCATCGTACAGCGTGCTATGAACTCTACGAAAACTGGCGACCAGCCTTACCGGAATATTCTGGATCTTTTCACTCAGGATTTGATCAGTGTACTGGGCTCAGCTGATTGGCCGGCTGCGGAATTGCTTCTTCGGATTTTGGCCTTGCGCATGATTCAAATCACCGACCAAGATAAAAGCGCGGCCACTTCGAAGAGCATGGCACTTGAACTTCTTGGCTGGATGGGATCTGCTATCTCGGATTTGATAGCAACCGCTCAGCACATGCTCCCGGCTCTGGAAGATTCCGACAGTGAATTAACTGATTACCTCAAACAACAATTTGAGGAATTTTGTTCGGGCGCACTGCATCATCAAGACCTCATCACTCCAACGGGTCCGTATAGGATTTCGCTCGAGCACCTTTTGCAAGACAAAAATTCAGACAACTGGCAACTGACCAGTGCGCGGGGCTACTACTTGGCTCAATGGGCCAAAACAGCCTGCGCCCTATATTACAACTCGGAGGATCAGGAGGAAATTGCGCATGACGAGGTGACTGATGATTTGGTTTCTCTATTAACAAGGTCCTTCTCAGATCCACGCTGGTTAGAGACCCACAAAGAATTCGACAAAATTCCCAACGTGCATGGCAAGTTTGCCTATATCCTCACGGTCTTGAATTCCAACTTCGGCAAAGCATTCGACACCATCCTCAAAGTTCTTTTGGCCTCTTTCCTTGGTGACTCGGCCAAGGTTCGCAGCCGCAGCTTGAAAAGTGTCATCTACATGCTTGAAAAAGACCCGAACCTTCTTGACAGAGACCCTTCTGTTTTACGTGTAATACACCGGTGTACAACGGATGCTTCACCCATGGTTCGAGACTCTGCGTTACACTTGATTGGACAATGCATTGGTTTGAAGCCTAAGCTTGAAGAAGAAGGATGTCGAAGTATTTTGGCCTGTGCAGCCGATCAAACAGCTGGTGTCCGAAAACGCTGTATCAGTCTTTTGAAGGAACTTTACCACAAAACCTCTCGGAAGGAATTGAAGCTGGCCATTCTCGACAGTTTCCTCCAACGCACAGGCGATCATGAGGAGAGCGTGGCATCTTTGGCTCGCCAAACTTTTGAAGAGATCTGGCTCGTTCCATTCCACGAGTCCATTGATTCCTCGTCCGAAGGGCCAAAATTGAAAATGGCTCTTGGGGAGCAGGTAGGCCTTATCGTTGGCCTGACTGAGCGCAGTGAAGCTGCCCTGGAGTCTCTTAGCATCTGTTTGAAAGCGGTCCTTTCAGACAAATCTAAGTCCGCGGCTTTGAATTTCAAGGTTTGTAAGGCGATGGTCTCTACCATGTTCCAGAGATTGGTGGAGGATTCAGATGGATCCAGCAAGGAATTCCAGCAAGCTCTTTTACAGACGATTACCGTCTTTGCCAAGTCGAATGCGAAGCTGTTCACCCCAGATCAGCTGGAGGCCCTGCATCCTTACATCGGACACCTTTCTACCGCAGATGATCTTTTCATATTCCGATCGGTTGTGGTCATCTATCGCTGTGTCTTGCCGTTCTTGTCCTCGTCCCACAACACCCTTCTGAAGGAAGTGCAGAATGACCTTTTCAAGAGTGTTGCCAAGCTCGCCCGTTCAGAGTTAAACGAAGTCATGGCTTGTTTGTGGACCATTAACAGTATTCTACAAAATACGAACAGACTGGTGAAGTTGACAGTTTCAGTACTGAAGCCATTGCAACAGTATAAGAGTATTGATCTCTCCTCGACTACACACGCTGCAATTCTTGCCCGTGCCAAGAGTTATATTCGCATTGCAGGTTGTGTTGGGCGGCATTGCGATCTTGACAAGTATACATCTCATTTCAAGAGTGAATTTCCCACCTGGGCTGGTGGCTCGGTTGCGGGACTGATGGTTGACTCAATTATTCCCTTCACTGCATCAAGTTCACCCTTTGATCTGAGGGTCATGGCTCTGGAAAGCCTGGGATCTATATGCCAGTCCTGGCCTGGTCAATTTGGCAGGGAACGCACACGGCAGACTTTTGCTCAGGCTTTCAAAGAAGATGCCCCAAGCCTGCAAAATATCGTTCTCAGATCATTTGCAGACTTCTTTGCCATCCATGAAGGCAAGTCTGAAAAGGCCGTCATGCCAACTGCAGAAGCTACCGCCCAGGAAGACACTACCAGATTAGGTGGCTCTTTGAGAGCTAGCGACAATGATGGTGCCGCTGCCTTAATCGCCCAACACTTCCTCTCAAACATGCTTCAGGTAGCACAATCTCGCCAGGATACTTATTCATTGACTGCCATTGAACTCATTGCGAGTATCAATAGACAGGGCTTAGTGCATCCAAAAGAATGCGCGGGCGTTCTGGTCTCTCTGGAGACTTCTACAGTCCCTGCGATTGCGAAAATCGCGTTCGACACGCACAAAATGCTCCATCAGCAATACGAATCCATGTTTGAGCGAGAATACATGCGGGCTGTGCAAGAGGCGTTCTACTACCAGCGTGATATTGTTGGAGACTCCAATGGCGCTAACGCTCGGCCTTTTGTCTCGAAGCTCGCACCGTTGTTCGAGATTGTCAAAATCAGCAACAGCCGTTACCAGAAAAAATTCTTAGCAAACATGTGCTCCAAAATCAACTTTGAACCGAAGAAATTGGACGTAACTGGCAACCCTCCAGAGCACCTTCTACTGGCACGCTTCATCTCCCAAAACCTGGCCTATTTTGACTACGGTCAAATGGCTGAAGTGGTGCCGACCATCGCATGTATGGAGCGTATCGTTTCTTCGACTGGCACAATCATTGCACACGCGATTGAGACGGAGATATCTCCCACCCCGATCGGTCCGCCTCAGTTAGATTCTTCAAATGGCATGATGCTAGGGTTTGCGCCTGAGATCCCTCAATCGACAGTCATACCGCGGCAAGCAAACCCTGCCACATTGAGATTGTTGGCAACTGCTGCTGCATCATTGTCAATGCTTTGGGAAGCTCGAACTCATCTTCGTCGTCTCTATGGAGTCAATGCTCACAGCAAGAATAAAGAAGGGAAATCTGCAACGAAGGACCTCAATAGAGCTGCCACCAAAGTGCACGGTGTGACCGGTGATAAGTTCTGGGAAGCCATTGCCAGAAATATGACAGCTCTGGACAACGAGGAAGCGATGCACCAAAAAATGTCGAGAATTTGCAACCTTACTCTCCATAGACGAGGAGTTCAGGGTGGAAGGAGACGAGGACGCTGAAGGGGACAGCCTGGACGCTGCTGGAGAGATCGATCAGACAGTGCCTCCTCGGCCCATGAAGCGGAAGAGCTCCATCTCCAGCTCAAACCTCAGCAAGCGACCTAAGAGCCGGAAGAGTTCAACCGGAAAGAAGAAGTCCAGCGCTGAGCCGGACGAAGACCTAGATTGGGACTGAATTCGCGGATCCCCATCATCCGTCACTGGGAATATCTTTTTTTTTTGCATGTCAAGCGAGGTTGGCGTTTACTTTATTTCCCTCTGCACATGAAGCCTTCCACGGGGAATGGCCTTTTATTTTTATTTCGAGATCGAAATGGGTGGGTGCTTTGTTTCCTTTTTTTTCATACATACTCTGAGCTTTTTTTTAATACTACAGCTCGGCCCTATATCCACACCCATCAGTTATGGGCATATAATAGAATTCAACGAATTCTTTTCCATTGGTACATACGCAGAAGATCTAGCTATCTAGCAATAGTTGTGGTTAATATCACGGAGGAGCTGTCGTGTGAGTTCGAAGTTTCGATGCCGGGTTCCCGAGTATCTGCTAGCACGTGACCTTTCTTCAGATGACGTCGCCGATGATGGTTGGCGTCCATTCTTGTCCAAGGTTTAAAACTTTTGTGCTCGATAGACTCTTTTTTGTCTTAGATTGTTTCTTCAAGGTCGCTCGTTATTTGAGTGCACGGGAACGGACCATGAGCTGCTTCGTCTCTTTTTTCCATCGCTGAACATCCTCCACACAAGCTCCCCTCCTGTGACAATGCTAAACGCGATGCTGCGTCGGACCCGGGCGGACGGCACCGCGATGAATTCATTGGGATCAGTACCAGGCCGAATTCATACCTCGAAGGCATTTTTTACATTCCGCCAACCTCTGTCTCGCTCCTTACACACTCCTCGGCAGCGACCCGCCCCTCAATGGCGACGAGTCTTGGCACCGGGCTCGTTGCCGATCCGATTCAAATCAGAAATCGCCGCTAAAATCGAACCTTTGAAAAAATCACGTGCTCTAATTGCTATACGCAAGGTCTTTACATTTTGCGGGTTCTTCATCATCACCAGCGGCGCCGTGGTCGTCGCCTTCTTCATTTACGATGCCAGTACATACCGCGAAGGTGCCAGTGGGATGGATATCCCGGTCTCGGAATTTGCTCTCAATCCTCGACTCGGGGGCCCGAAGAACTTGCCCATCGCCGATGTGCTAGTTGGCGACTACGACTCCGAGGCTATGCTTCAGCAGAAGGATAAGCCTCGTCTCGTTATCCTGGGAACGGGTTGGGGTAGCATCGCGCTTCTTAAGAACTTGAACCCTGCCGATTATCATGTTACTGTTGTTTCCCCTACTAACTATTTCCTGTTTACTCCCATGTTACCTTCGGCTACGGTTGGCACTTTGGGTCTTCGGTCGCTGGTTGAGCCTGTTCGGCGCATTATTGACCGGGTTAATGGCCACTTCCTTAAGGCATCCGCGGTTGATGTCGATTTCTCTGCGAAGCTGGTGGAAGTATCCCAGGTTGGCCAAGATGGCCAGACAAAGAACTTCTATCTTCCATACGACAAGCTTGTTGTCGGAGTTGGTATGTTGTGCCAAAGAACAAGCAGGTTCAAGTTCCAAAATATTGACATTTCTATGTACTAGGCTGTGTAACAAACCCACACGGTGTGAAAGGCCTTGAGAACTGTAACTTCTTGAAGACAATTGACGATGCTCGTCAAATCAAGAACAAGGTTCTAGAGAATATGGAACTAGCGTGTCTCCCCACCACTTCTGATGAAGAGCGCAGACGCCTGCTGTCTTTTGTGGTGTGCGGAGGTGGCCCAACCGGTGTTGAATTTGCAGCCGAGCTGTTCGATCTCCTCAATGAAGATCTGCTTCATTCTTTCCCTCGCATTGTACGAAACGAGATGTCTGTCCACATCATTCAAAGTCGAAGCCATATTCTGAACACTTACGACGAAGCACTTTCTAAGTATGCTGAGGTATGTTTTCTCCACATCTGAACCTACCCTAGAATCTGTCTGGTGTTAACCCCTTGTAGGGTCGATTCACTCGCGATGGCGTTGAGGTGTTGACAAATGCCCGTGTTAAGGAAGTGCGTAGCGATCGGGTTCTTTTCTCCCAAATGCAAGACGGCAAGACCGTTGTAAAAGAAATTCCAACTGGACTCTGCTTGTGGTCCACTGGGGTTGGTTAGTGCGCTAGTGCCATTACTCGTTACGTCAAATCTAACAACATCTCTTCAGCCCGAGCCGAGATCTCAGAGACACTCTCTAACAAACTGGAAGGCCAAAACAATAAGCACGCCCTCGAAACAGACTCCCATCTCCGCGTGATAGGCGCCCCATTAGGCGACGTCTACGCAATCGGCGACTGCTCAACAGTCCAGAACAATATCGCAGACAACGTCATCAGGTTCCTTCGCACCGTTGCCTGGGAGAAAGGCCTCGACCCCGAGAAAGTGCACCTCACTTTCTCCGAATGGACCGAATTCGCCTCTCGGATTAAGAGACGCTATCCGCAAGCCTCAAGCCATCTCCGTCGCCTGGATCTGCTCTTTGAGCAGTACGACAAGGACCACTCCGGCACTCTTGACTACGGCGAGCTGTCCGAGCTCCTGCACCAAATCGACACCAAACTCACGTCCCTGCCTGCCACTGCCCAGCGCGCTAACCAGCAGGGCGTGTACCTGGGCCGTAAATTGACTAAGATTGCCGCCGCACTTCCCGGTCTCAAGGCCAATGAGGTTGATTATGGTGACCTCGACGAGGCTGTCTACAAGGCGTTTAAGTATAGACACCTCGGAAGCTTGGCGTACATCAGCAATGCTGCTATCTTCGACTTTGGTGGTATGAGCTTCAGTGGCGGCGTCATCGCCATGTACCTTTGGCGTAGTGTCTACTTCGCTCAGAGTGTTAGCTTCCGTACGCGGTGTATGCTGGCCATGGATTGGGCCAAGAGAGCGCTCTTTGGAAGAGGTATGCCTTTGATTTTCTAATTCTTTCTCCGGCAACACTCGTGCTTTGTTAACTTTTTATTCTCCAGATCTCATGAGCTTTTAAGGAAGGCAATGTTGCCTCTCATTCGTGCTGTTATTACTTGTTGATCTAGACACATTCGTGATTAATTTTATTTTCGATGTCCGGCAGGCAGTGAGTCCGATGCTGTTTTGTTTGCTCTAACATTCGTCCATAGACTTGCATTTGTTGCTTCTTGATCAGTTTTCATAGTCACGCTTGAAATATATTTGCGGGACGGATTTATGGTTTGGGGGGGACAGCTGTCTTTCTTGCTCCGCTGGTTGAAGCTGCATACCACAGGGTTAGCATCTACTCCGTACAACATACTCTATCAATACCTTGGTCAAATACGTCCATAATATTTTACACTGTAGAATTACCATGTCTTGGACTAAGAAGTATTTTATGTGACCTAAATCAAGATTTAAAAAAGGCGTTGATATTGCAAAAAGGGTCGAAGCACCCATATTGGAGAACTAGTGAAACGCCATTGCCCGAACACCTAGAAATGTGGATCCAAGACGCCGCGCTAGAGGAGCAAAGGAAAAAAAAAAGCAAAGGAAATTCGGCTCCCACAGGACTCAGTGAAAATTTGACTGACAATCAAGGCCAGCCTTAGGGGAAAGTTCGATTAAGAGATCATTGGATCAGTATCGGTGTTATTCGACATCAACGTGTCACGAATGTTAGTAGCATGGTCATTACTGTTACTGTTGTCGTGAGAATCACCGACCAAGCCGATGTCCAGTGTATCTGGTATGTCTTTTTTGGCCTCTCGTGCCTTTTGCTCGGCATATGCCCGGGTCTTCACAAGATTGCGCAGCCGGGCCTCTTTACGAGCGCCCTGGTTCTGCAGAATTGCCTCGTTGACTCGGGTTGCGATCTCTTTACGAAGTGCAGGGTCCAGGAGCGACGCAAGCGAGGGGGCCAGTTTATCACTGGGAAAAATCAGAAGCGCTAGGGTCCGCTCGAGGTCGTCTAAGAACTGAGGGTTTGTAGGTGCGCGTGGTGCAAGTTGCGCCGTCGCGAAATCAAGGGCGGGGGTGATATCGCCACCGGGAGTGTCCATGCAGGTACGGATCAACTCAACCAGCTGCAGACGCAGGAGAGAAAAGTGCAAAGAGGGATCTTCGTCAAGAATCTATTGAAGTCTTGTTAGCCATGGCACTTAATTTGAAGTGTGACGTGATGATAAGAATCAATTATTGGCAGTTGCTCATACTGAGGACTGAAGATGTTTGTTTTTCTGCAAATGTCCCGGAAGGGAGTTTAAGAGTGGTGCATGAAACTTGGTATAATCATAGCAAGTGGGGCCAAGCGATGTGCAATAGAAATAGAACAATGAGGGGGAAAATCTTACCTGAGGGTTCAGCTCGTTGATTTTTTCAACAGCGACCTGGATGTCACCAGAGTGAATCGCAGAGCGAATTTCAACTCGCTCTTGGATTGCCTCTAGATCCGTTCTGAGCTGGATGTTGGCCTCCACTGCAAATTTCTTCGCAGCAGCGGGATAGCCGTTGGTGATGAGATAATCCATGACCAAATAGTTGATATCACTGCACGATGATTGTCAGTAACCCTTGATTCAACAAAGAGTGAAAATTTTGCAGTGGTGACGTGAATCAGAAGGATAAGTCAATTTGTTTCTCCTCACATGTTTTCAGAGAGATTCCCAACTTAATTTCAAAAACATCATGTCACGGCGGTGGGCAGGTGGAGGTGTAAGAAGGAAGATAACTCACGTCTTAGACGGCTTGACCTCCTCAAGCTTCCGCTCAAAGTGATGCCAAGTAGGCGTCGCAGTCGAGGGAGTGCGAGACATCTGCATAGTGTTAAAAGGCCAGCAACCACCGGTGTCAAGCCGAGAAGCATACAAGATTAGCAGACATTATGAGCTAGATAGCCAGTCTTGAATCTGATCAGAAGCTACCCGTAAAGCTGGACTGCAACCCAAGAGACGACGGCCATGGGGAAAGGCAAATCGCTGTGTGGGAGAAGACCGAATAGGATGCAAAAGAGAAAAGGAACGGAAAAGCTCGCGGCGGAAGAAGTAGCTTAAGCGAAACGCATGCGCTAAGCTCAAATGGGATGCTTTATAATGCACGAATTTTCAGCACGTGACCGATCGCTCCAACGTTGGAACCTTCCAGGAAATGAACCTCGACTAGCCTGCTTTGGGATTGTCAATTAGGTAATCACCGTGGGTCCCCACCTGGGCAGCTTTCAAGGCTATCAAAATCGAAATCAGAGGGGTGGAGAGGGCTAACCTTCGAAGATACCTACAGCGTTGTATGTCGCACATGTAGAGATGGAATCAATTTCACCTTTATATTCCTCCTCTACGGAAGTGCGATATTCTCCACCATGGCATGACTTGAGCATTATTGGCATTGCTGGCAGCTCTGGCTCCGGTAAGAGTTCTGTGGCGATGGAGATTGTGAAGTCTTTGAACTTGCCGTGGGTGGTGATCCTTGTAATGGTACAGCTTGTGGACTCTGTGCATCTAAATCAAGACCACCTTGTTCTAACATGTTATATGCAGGACTCATTCTACAAGACTTTAACTCCCGAGGAACACCATAAGGCCTATGCAAATGAGTATGACTTCGACTGCCCAGAATCGATTGACTTTGATGTTCTGGTGGAGACCCTCCGTGATCTGAAGAAAGGGTAGAATTGCGTTTTCCCCTAAAGTTCTTCTATTTGATCTGACTGGATGTCACAGAAAGAAAGCGAACATCCCAGTTTACTCATTTTCTGAGCACCAGCGGCAGCCTCATACAACCACTCTCTACTCCCCTCGTGTGATCATTCTCGAGGGGATTTTGGCGCTCCATGATCCTAGAATTGTCGAGATGTTGGATGTGAAGGTATTCTAGTTCCATCCGCTATCCTTGTGCTTGTCAAGGCTAATTTGATGTCCTAGATCTTCGTTGAAGCGGATATGGATGTGTGCTTAGGTCGCAGAAGTGGGTTTCCTTGATTGTGCCATCTTAACCCCATTGACAATTTACAGTCTTGCGTGACGTACGTGAGCGAGGACGTGACGTTGAAGGAATCGTCAAACAATGGTTTGAATTCGTGAAGCCTTCCTACACTCGATTTGTGGAGCCTCAACGCCCTATCTCAGGTAGGCAGTCATATGAGATTGCAAAGCGTCAAGAGACTTTTTTTTAACTATGAATCTCAGATATCATTATCCCGCGTGGTATTCAGAACACGACTGCTATCGGTATGCAATTCCTTCGGAGCTGTTGGGTTTAAGAGCTGTAAACTAACTGATGTAGACATGGTGGTCAAACACATTCAACGCAAGCTGCAGGAGAAATCTGAAAACCACACCGAAGCGCTTCGCAAATTGGGTTTGGTTGCAGCAGAAGTAGAGCTGCCTTCAAATGTGCATGTCTTGCCCTCGACACCGCAGTTCGTTGGCATGAATACTATTCTGCAGAACCCAGAAACCGAGCAAGAGGATTTCATTTTCTACTTTGATCGACTGGTTTCTATATTGATTGAAAAGTACTGCTCTCCATCTCATTGTGCAACCTAAAGTTACTTTGCTGACATCACCGTCGCAGCGCGTTGGATATGACATCGTATGTATCCGCAAATGTGGAAACACCACAGGGGAGCACATACCTCGGTTTGCATCCCAAGGGTATCGTATCAGCCGTGGCTATCCTACGTGGAGGCTCTTGCATGGAGACTGCGCTTAAGCGATCCATTCCAGACTGTCTTACTGGTCGCGTGCTCATCCAAACGAACGAGAGCAATGAGGAGCCAGAGTTGCACTACTTGAAACTTCCGTCGCAGATTGAGGAGCATGCAACTGTAATACTAATTGACTCTCAGATGTCCAGTGGAGGTGCTGCACTCATGGCTGTTCGCGTCCTGATTGATCACGGGGTTGAACAAGAGAGGATCGTTTTCGTAACTTGCGCAGCAGGTGAACGGGGCCTCAAGAGGCTCACTGCCGTATACCCCAGGATGAATGTGATTGTTGGACGGATCGAAGAAGAGGGAGAACCACGCTGGATAGAAAAGCGATACTTTGGATGTTGAAATGTTCATTCGTTTGCTGTTTCTTCAAGTGTATGTGTTGTCTGTTCATTGTGATTTATTCCAGAGACCAAGCATTGGGTTACCAGGGTTGAAAATTAAAAGCATGCTTATACAGAAATTAGGAAATTTACTCAATTCTCAGCAAACTAATCCGATTTTGATGCAAGGTTGTCTTGCATGACAGTAGCTTTTGGGAAAGGAAAGTCAAGAGAGATAAACACGCCGTTTTGAGAATAACACGTGCCTGACCGCCCTGGCTTCGGCGGGCAGAAAAAAGAAATAATTTGTTAGTCTCGACTATTTTCACTTGCTAAATCCGACGATCTCTACCGAGTTTCAGGCATTGCAAATTTTTGCTTGCGTTCTTGTGGTGTGCAAAGCAAAATTTACCAGCGCTCACAATGGCAGGCCTAGGCAAGAAAAAGTCCAAAGCTGGCAAGCCCAAAGGCGAAACCGGTCCAGCGATCAGTACGTTGAGTGGAAGCTTGAGATTCATTTCCAGGAAACCCCATAACCATGATTGCTGACTCTTTGTGTCACCGTAGCGGATCCTCGATTTGCAAACATCCAGACCGATCCTCGCTATCGTCTTCCTAGCAAACGCCAGACTCATGTGAAACTCGATAAGCGCTTTGCGCATGTGCTTGACGATAAGGATTTCTCCAGCAACGCCCCTGTCGACCGTTATGGACGAAAGCTCAGAAAAGATGACACCAAGGAAAAATTGAAGGAGTTCTACCAGGTGGATGAGGATGAAGATGAAGACGAGGATGAGGACAGTGCCGACGACGATGAAGAAGTCCAGAAAGAATTGAAACGGGTCAACGCTGCCTCATATGATCCCGCCCGTGATGGCGGCTTTGAGTCCTCGTCATCCGAAGAAAGCTCCAGCGAAGATGAAGAAGAGGCGGAAGAG